AAAAACAACCAATAAAGACTTCACTTGGGCTATTCGAAGTTATAAATTAGGTATGCATAATATTGTCATAAAACGAGTCTATTTTGTCCATGAAGGTAGGTCCCCATAATATATATATATATATATATATATATATATATATATATATATATATATATATATATATATATATATGTATCAAAAATACATTTGAAAACTTTGGGGACGGGTTCCTCACACGAAAACAAGGATAAAATTCGCGAATCCTTTATTTTTGGGTTATTAATTTTAAAGACTACTGTAGACGCTGTTAAGTGTACAATCGAAGAATGTGTTTTTCGTGGTCAGATGTACGAGTGGATCTCGGTCTTTCTCGATCCATAGTTTGTGGTGCTTGTCTCAGCAATGCGATGATAAACAGCAGTAATTGTTGGATGTCTCGGCTGCTTTCGGTCTGGAAAAGCAATCTGATACAGCCGTGCACCCTCGCGTCCGTTACCATTCTGAATATTCATATCTGTCTGCTCACGATATGAATACCCTGCTATTGTTAAACTGGCACTTTTCAGTTAACTCACTGCTACACACGTTAAACGTTGACGACAGATGAGCCACAAATGTGCATGAATGACAAATGTAACCTAGTCTATATGGCAACACAGCGCCATCTAGTGTAAACTTTCTTTAAACTTAATAACTCAAAAACGAAGGATTTGTGGACATATTTTGCTTTGAGAAAACCGACCCCAAATTTTGTAAATGTAACTTTGATACACCATTTTTCTTTCTCTTTTTTCTTTTTTTTTCTTTTTATTTTTTGAATGTTTAAATTTCAAGTTCCTATTTTTTCCTTCAGATTTCTGAGTTGACAATGCCAATAGAGATCTGCTTGTTAGTTGAAATAGCTATTCGAAGGAGTTAAATTTGGATTTATATATATATATATATATAATTTATATATATATATAATTTATATGCTCTGTTATAATAAATATCATTAAGCTCTTTTTGAAGATCTGTTTTAATATTTTATATTATTAGGATTCACTTGGATTATATATTAACGTATTATTACCTATATATATATATATATATATATATATATATATATATATATTAGGATATTAGACAGAAAACATGTAAAAATAGGTTTCATTGTACCTGTATATATATATATATATATATATATACATACAGGTCATTGTACCTACATATATATATATATATATATATATATATATATATATATATATATATAATATAAATTAACTGATTTAAAATATGGTTTATATATATATATATATATATATATATATATAATGTATGCGCGGTACTTATTGGAAAGCGCTTAATATCAGTAATAGTGATGTCAATGATAGATTCCCTGCCCTCAGTACATCTTTGATCTTAAGTCCAACAATAATCAAAAGGGCTGCAGTCTGGGGAGTTAGGTGGCTAGATATAAGGGGTGTTGTGGTTACAGAAATTGTCTGACAGCCATGACTGAGTTCTGCTAGTGTGGCATGGTGCAGAGTCCTGTTGACAGACATAGGTTCTTCCATCAGCCACCCTCTTGACCCAGAGCAGCAGTCCCTCTTAGAGGCACTTGGTGTACATCTCCTGTTGAATCTGAAGTCCTGTAAGAATATGAACGGAAGCATAACGTCGTCATCACTAGTGATCGCTCCAAACACATTAATCACCATTAGACTCATTTAACTCTTTCAGAATCCCCTGGGCTTTCTTCAGATTCGCATGCAAAGACTTTGCTCCCGGTGTGAATGCCAAGCAGTACAACATGCTCTTTCCAAATGTCTGGCGGAGTGAACTGCGTCATGGTGATCTTTTTCTCACAGACGGTGCGCAAATGACACTATTATACTGTGTAGTCGACAAAAAATCTAAAACAAACAACGCGGGGGCAACGCGTATTTAAAAATATAAAATGGCCGCAATTTACCCCTCGTATATTATATATTAAATGCTATACTATATATATATATATATATATATATATATATGTGTGTGTGTGTGTGTGTGTGTGTGTGTGTGTGTGTGTGTGTGTATAACGAAATATATGGGGAAAACAAATATTCTTACACATAATAATCTTTACTTTATTGCATTTCCAATTAATGAAAAAACATACTTTTCATATAATTAACTGTACACGAATGCATAATAACGAAATATGAATAGAAAATAGAAAAAAAATTTGATTTAATAGAAATAAATCCCATTTATCCATTTTAATTTTGTTCTGTATTAATGTTATTTGATACGGTTGGTTTAGATGTTATATTATTGGTTAAACATTTATCATCAAGTGGACAGTTACTTTTAATTTTTTTTTATTTATTATATTCTCCATATTATTTATATAACTGTAGCTGATTTTTTTGTATTCTTATTCATGACTTCTGATAGTTAATACACACACACACACACACACACACACACACACACACACATATATATATATATATATATATATATTTCATTGAATAATATAGCCATATTGTCTCTATTTTTATATTCATGCTTTTCCAGTAGCCCTGGGTTAAAAAACTAGGAGAGTCTTTTTTAAATTTTTTGAATTTCTTGTAACTACACAACATTTCGATTTTGTATATCATCACTTGCCTTGATGAAGTCAAATGACGAAACGCGTTGGCAAGGACTAAGTACTATTTTCACATTGTCTATGTTATTCATATATATATATATATATATATATATATATATATATATATATATATAAAAGATAGATAATAGATAAATATGATACTAATATAGTTTTGAGGTATACCGTATTTAGGGTTAAAAGTGGTAGATATCAGAGATAGAGCGTATGTAAATAGCCTGAAGATTGCGTTCGACCATAAAACAGACTGTCGCCTCTTGTTGTTGACCTCAGTATCCACTTATATATATATATATATATATATATATATATATATATATATATTATATATACTTTATGACAATGTGTGTCTTAAATACAAGGCTGTTGGGTGGGCGTAACGATTTTTTTGCCATAAGCTCCATTTTTACAGTTCAGTTCCAAGAAACGGTAGTTTTTACTCCTCAATTTGCCTGTTTATAAAATTTGCTACACGATGAAAGAATAAATTTCATCAAAACAACGAAAAAAAAAAAAAAAGAAAAAATTCCCGTAAACCAAAAGCCATTAGATCAACCGAAATATTCGCAGTTCTTTTCTCTTTTACTTGGTCATTCACTCTGTTAAGTGGGTACTTTTTCTGTTATCGGAGCCTGGCCAAGTGGTCTAAATCAGAAACCAGATTCCTTTACCGAAGAAATTTCTTTAAAAAAAGAAGACATTTTTGCAGCTTTTTTCCTTATCTTTCAGCGTATTTATTTATTTATTCATATGCTTATTTATTTATCTTTCTCCAAAGAAATAGTCTCATCTGTAGTTCGGTTCTTTTTTGACTGGTTGGTTACTATATATATATATATATATATATATATATATATATATATATATATATATATATAGTTAAGTAACGAAAAACTTGGTAATTCGTATTGGTAGTCCCAAGGAGGATGAAATCCTGAGAGCTCAATGTAAATTCAGAGCTAATAATTTAAAGAAAAACAGACGACTTTAAGGCTCCATTGTAATAGTTTATTTCATCAGAGACCTTTTAAAGTAACCTGGATCATCAGACATCACTTTCAAAAGGTGAATCGAAATATATACATATATATATATATATATATATATAATATATATATATATATATATATATATATATATATATATATATATAAGTGAACATAGAAGTCAACACTTAGAGGCCTCTAAGTGTTGACTTCTATGTTCACTTTTATATTTACACACGCTCTATCTCTGATATTGAGCACTTTATCCCATAAATATAGCACACCTTAAGACTATATTTCTTTATATATATATATATATATATATATATATATGTGTGTGTGTGTGTGTGTGTGTGTGTGTGTGTGTGAGTGTGCATCTTTCATTAAAAACGACAGACAAGGTACTACGGTTGAACTTTTTATTTAATTTTTTATTGTGTTCTAACAAGAGCTTTCTTTTCTGGACAAAAAAGGATAATCTGGATAGCACATGCTTATCCAGACGTCTTACATTACACCTATCCGATCACAGCTCTATTAGAACACATTTAAAAACATACACAAATTTACCAGACTCCATTAGGAACATATTAGTAGAAAACATAAATATATTGACTGCATCCACTTGTAAAAAAAGACTAAAAATTATGTAAGCTTTAATAATAGAAAAAAAGGCCAACTCTTTACATTGACTACCAACAAAACCACAATGTGCTAACTGTATTCGGAAATTAAAACATCCCCACAACACACTAAGACATACACATAATGCACACACTCAATTAAGGTGAAAAATCGAATCATCCTTGATAATGGCTAAAGGTATAGCCGAAAGCGCTCGGAAATATAAAACATTTGGACAGTTTTTACACACTCTTTGTCGAGAAAAGAAAGCTCTTGTTCGAACACAAGAAGAATTAAATAAAAAGCTCAACTGTCGTACCTTGTCTGTCGTTTTTAATAAAACATGCATAAACTAAGGATTGCTGTCTCTCTCTCTCTCTCTCTCTCTCTCTCTCTCTCTCTATATATATATATATATATATATATATATATATATATATATATATATATATATATATTGCATTCACAAATGACAGTAGCTTAAGCGGAACAGTTTTGTAGTAAAAACCTGGTTGTCAATGACGCGGCCGAAAAGTAAGTGTTGAGATAAAAACATTTAAAGTGAGAGATATTTATTGATTAAATAGGGAGAGATGGTTAGAGAAATAGAAAGATAAGGAAAGAAATAAGGGGAACGAATAAGAGAATTGAAAGAGAAGATAAGAAAAATGTGTCAGAGAAAAGAAGAACAGAGTAATATGCGATTGAAAAGAAAAGAGCATAAAGAGAGAGAGAGAGAGAGAGAGAGAAAGGGAGGGGGAAGAGAATTAAACGTAAGAAAAGAAAGAAATAGTGAAAAAGGCACAGTGAAGAAAATAATGAAAGAATGACAGACAGAAAGAAAGACGAAAAGAGAGAAAAATACAGAGAGTTACAATAAAAAGAGAAATGAAATCAATAAAAGTAAAATGATCGTAAATTTCAGAGTATAAGACGCACAACTTTGTGTTGTTTTCAGAAAGGAAGCTAGTTCTGGGAGATAAATGCGCATGATGAAGCCTTGCACTATAAAGTTCCCAGTACTGGTATATTTATAAACTTTTAAGACAGGAGAATTTTAAATCGTTTTGTGAAAAAAAGCGTCTTGTACACACACGCATACACACACACACACATACACATACAAACACGCACACGCACGCACAACAACTAAAAAAACACAAATAAAAAATCAAACAATTTCATGTCATACAGAATACACATTTTACGTAAAAATCTAAAATTGCGTAAGAAAACCGTCCATTGCCCTGCTTTCCTCGTGTGAATTTAGGCCCATTCTACAAACCGATATTTAACTTTGATTATCGTAGGCTGCAGGTTATTTTTAACATTCCTGACTGAAATGACCTGGTATTGTAAACGTCATCCAATATGGCAGTTATGAGAAAGAGAAGGAAAACAAGATGGCTGGAAAGAGAGAGCAGTGAGGGAAGAAAGAAGTAAAAGTTTATTTGCTAGAAAAATCAATCTCACTTTCCTGATGTGTTTCTTGAAATGTCTGAAAAAAAAAAAAGAAGAGAAACAAAGAAAGGAAGAGTGACGAAATAGACGTAAATAAGGATTTGGATAAAAATGACAAAAAAGAAATTAAAAAAGGCGTTTTCGACAGGAACTAGTAACTTTATTTATGTTTTGACAAGGCAAAAAATAAAAGAAATGGTTGTATGATAAAGAAAGAAAGAGCGATAAAGAAATGGAAAGGGAGAGAGAGAGAGAGAGAGAGAGAGAGAGAAAGAAAGAATGACGTGAAAGATAAATCAAAGAAAGAAAAAATAAACAAGAATTAGATAAGATAATTATAGCACAGAGAAAGAAAGGGACAAACGTAAGGAGAACGAGAATGACAAAGATAAAGGAAGAACTTAGAGAGGCAGAGAGAAATATAGAGAGACAAAGAGACAGAGAGAGTAAGTAAAGGAAAAAGGGCAAGAAGATAGCAAACTGAGGGAGGAGGAAACGGGAGACAAAGGTCACATGTAGAGCAGAACAAAGTAGAGGAAAGAAGGAAAAATCAATAGAAAGAAAGCAAAATTAAAGGAAAGAGAATGAGAGAGAGAGAGAGAGAGACAGAGAGGAATAGAGATAGAGAGATAGAAAGAGAGAGAGAGAGGGGGGGAGGGAAAAGAATAAAACATAAAACATGAAAAAAAAAAACTCCAGAAAACTAATGAAGACCGATCATGAAAAACAAAAGAACAATGAGAAGAATTAAAACTGGAGAGTAAAAGTGAGGACGAGAGAAAGAGGCAGACGGACAGAGAGAGAGAGAGAGAGAGAGAGATGAAAGAGAGAGAGAGAGAGGGGGACAGTCAAAGAGATGCAGAGAGTGACACAGAGTGAGAGACATAAACAGAGGGAGATGAGAGAAACAGAGAGAGAAGCAGACTGACAGATGTAGAGTGAGAAAGAGACAAAAACAGAGTGAGATGAGAGAGAGAGAGAGGAAGACAGAAAGATGCAGAGAGAGAGACAGAGGGAGAGACAGAAACAGAGAGAGATGAGAGAAACAGAGAGAGAGAGAGAGAAAAGCAGACAGATGCCGAGAGAGAGAGACAGAGAGAGAGAGAGAGAGTGAGAGAGAGAGAGAGAGAGAGAGAGAGAAAGGCAGACAGATGCCGAGAGAGAGAAACAAAGAGGCAGATGTGAGAGAGGCAGGCATACAGACAGATGCAGAGAGAGAGAAAGAGATACCGAAACAGAATGAGAGAGAGAAACAGAGGAGATAAGAGAAAGGCAGACAGGCAGAAAGACAGATGCAGAGAGAGACAGGCATACCGAAACAGAGAGAGAGAGAGAGAGAGAGAGAGAGAGAGAGAGAGAGAGAGAGGGGGGTGAGAAGTAGAAGTATTGATAAAAATCTAATCGTCTCTCTGAAATGTCATAGTTCATAATCAGTATATGTAACGAATGCAACGGC